CCACTCGAGGCATATCGATCAGCAAACAATAGATAATCAGTATAGAAAAATAGGACAACCATTGTACTACCAACCTACAAGTTATACAGATCATTTTTTATACCATCCAAGCCTCAACCAGACACCGCACTAGATGACAATCCACGTACATATGTAAATAGTAACTGTACAAATAACGTTTTAGATTTTAATGATTGTGAGCAGAAGAATATGAAAGTTTTGAGTTTTAACTGTAAAAATATTTTAACTAAGTCTTGTGGTCCATTCTTCAGAGAGATGAAGGAAGATGTAGATATTTATTTACTTCAGGAACATTGGTTGTTTGATTGTCAACTCAACATGTTGAATGAAATTGACTCTAAATATATAGGAATAGGAAGGCCGGTTGACACTGATGACCCTCTGCCTCCAATACAAATGCCGAGAGGATACGGTGGGGTGGCAATATTGTGGCGAAAAGAACTAGACCCCTTAATTTCGACTTTGAAAGCAGGAAATAGTAGAATTCAATGCATTGAAATAGAAGGAGATCCTAACATCATCATTGTTTTCTTATATCTACCATGCAAAGGACCCACTAACAGTACACAAGAGCTACTAGAATGTATAGACCAACTGAATGAGATTGTATGTACATACTCCAATACTCATCAGATAATTATAGGAGGAGACTTTAATGAAGACATAATTAATGGTGCTTCCTCTCATAGAAAGAAATATATCAATGACTTTATGCAAGACCATGAGCTATCTTCAAAAGAAACTGGACTTACCTTTATACATTCAAATGGAAAAGATGCCACTGCCATTGACTTTATTCTTTATCAAAATAAATATTCAGAGAACATAATAGATATACAGAAACTAAATGTAACTTCAAATGTTTCGGACCACTATCCTCTGTTATTGTCTGTTTTACATCTTCAGAAAAAGCTCAATATTATTAAAAACTCTCAAACATCTGCAAAAACATTTAACACAAGAATAAAATGGGACAAAATTGATACAGGAAAATATGCACGCCTCATCTCTACAGAAATTAGCTCAACAAAATGTAAAATACAAAATCGTGAAGACCTTGACAGCGGATTCAACACTTTAAATAACATCATAATTAAAGCTACAAAAGATATTGCTCCTAAATCAAAAAAAGGAAAAAAGAAGCCAAAATTACAAGTGATGAATGAGGAAATTCGTAAAGCTATCAGTAACAAGAAAATAGCGTTCTATAATTTGAAAAGTAACGGAAGCATTAATGATCCACACAACTACTACCTGAAACAAAAGAAGCTAACAACTTACGAACTGAGGAAGCAATGTCGCTTAGAAATAGCAATTAGAAGAATAAATGAGAGGCAAAAACTAATTGATTCTAAAGTCACAGATACCAAAACGTTTTTTAGAATGATTAGAAATCAAAGAGGAAAAATGTCAAAACATATAGATTAGCTCAATGTTGATAATCAAATCTATAACAGTGACAACCAAATTATTAACGGCTGGCATATACATTTTGGAGAACTAGCTAAAAAGTCTGTCAATACAAAGTTCGATCATAAACATTTGGAAAATGTTGAAAAAGAAGTTAAAGTTATATCTGATATTTGTCAAAATAGATATATTCATATGCAAGTGACTGATGAAGAAGTAGAAAAAGCAATATCAAGTTTGAACAAAAACAAAGCAGCAGACATTTATGGAATCACAGCAGAAAATATTATATATGGTGGTGAAGATCTGAAAGCTTATATACGTGAACTAATAAATATGTCATTTAAATACTGTTATGTTCCAGACCTACTCAAAATTGGCACATTATTTCCAATATTTAAAAACAAAGGCAATATTAAAGATGCTACTAACTACCGTGGAATTACTGTCACTCCAACCTTATCGAAAATAATAGAAAAGATCTTGAAACTAAGAGAAAATATAAAAATTATCGAATCTCAAAACCCGTTACAAAGTGGATTCACAGAGGATACCACCCCACGTATGTGTGAACTCATCATAGAGGAGTTTGAGAGAGAAAATAAAGACCTAAAAAGACCAACTTACATAGCACTGCTTGATGGGAAGTCAACCTTTGATGTAGTAGTACATGCAAACCTCATTAGAAGACTCTTCCAAATTGGAATATCTGATCAATCTCTACTAATGATACAAAATCTTTACCAAAATGCTGCTACATGTATTAAATGAAATGGTCACCTTTCGGAACCTTTCTTAGTAGAACAAGGAGTACGTCAAGGTGGAGCTATATCTGCTGACTTGTATAAAGTATATGTCAACCCTTTATTGAACCTCTTGTGTGAAACAGGACTCGGCGGAAAAATTGGTAACATAAACTGTTGTGTACCTACCTGCGCTGATGATGTCGCTATTATAGCAACAAATCCACTGGAGATACAGTCCATGGTTGATATTGCAGTTGACTTCAGTCGAAGAGAAGGATACTTATTACAACCTACTAAAAGTGTAATACTGCCAGTAAGAACAACCTCAAAAACAATAGAAACTGGAGAAGGATTTTGGAATATGGATGATAAGCCAATGCCAGTAGTTAAAACAGCAACACACATTGGAATACATAAATCAGAAAAAAACTCAGTCCAGTTAACAGTTGAAGAAAACATCAAAAAAGCAAGACGCACTTTATATAGTTTAATGGGATCAGGTCTTCATGGAACCAACGGTTTGGACCCAGAAACAATTATCTCACTAGTTAAAACTTTTGTACTACCTATTCTTACTTATGGACTAGAAATTTTGATCCCAAAAGGAAAATCTCTAACAACTCTTAATCTATACCACAAGAAATTATTAAAACAGCTACTATCATTATCTACAAATACAGCAGACCCAGCCATTTATATACTCTCTGGCATGATACCTATTGAAGCTGAGTTAAATATCAAAATTTTGACATTATTTTGGACCATCACGAGATCAGAAAAAAACTTCAAATGTGTGGAGAATAGCGGAAAGGCAGCTTAAATTAAAATCTTTCAATAGTAACAGTTGGTTCATTGATATTAAAAAACTCTGTTTGTTATATAATATAGAAAATATAGAAAACTTTCTGGACAATCCACTAACAAAAAACAAATGGAAATCCTTTATAAACAATAAAGTGCAAAGCTACTGGACCAATAAAATTCTTGATGACTCAAAGATGAACTCAACTCTTCGGTATATAAATTGTCAATATTCTATTGGGAAAATACACCCATTGATCACTACAAAAACAGCCAACAATAGAGACATTGTAAGGATTCATACAAGAACCAAAATTGCTACAGGAACATATATATTTCAATCGAATCGAGCATCATTCAATAAAAACAAAGTCAGTCCAACATGTAAACTTTGTAATAAGAGTCCTGAAATCTTGTCACATTTTTTACTAACATGTGAGTCACTTGAAACCGACAGGAAAAGACTGATGAAGATAATAATTGATATGGGGAGTGAACTTTTACCAAAATCTTGCTTTGTAGAGGAAGTAGACTTAGTTCAGCTAATAGTTAATCCTTTCTACTATACTGTGGATAAACGTAACAATGAAATTGTTCAAAATATTACTGGACAACTAGAGTGTGTGTAGACAGCTTATTAACAATCTGCATATGAAGCGGTATGAACTGCTAACCAAACAACAAAAATGTGAAAAGAAAAACAACCTTTCATGAGGAGTAAATATAATGTAAACTATATATGACATTAAGCTGATGATCAGGGTGGGAATCTCCACAGGTATCATCAGTTGTAATCGAATCAAATAGACGGTTATCAACCAATAATAAATTTGGTTATTATATGGGTGCATACAGATTAAAATTAAATATAAATTTTATCTTTTTATTGTCAAATCATATATTAATTGTACATAATGGTGGCGGTACAGAAGTCATTTTTATTGATATATTACTATGTATTCATAATTGGATTAGACATTCATTGCGTATTATTATATTGTGTGGTGAAGGATATTATATATATTCAACTCCATTGGAGGTGTGCCTACATTGGTAGAATTTATCTCGATACAGTTACAGATGCAGATACAGTGGCATATATTTCAAGTATGTTTAGGCGGAGAACAAACTAACAAAATTTATCAGGTAGGTCCTAGACCTGTGATGGCGATCGACCGTAATTAAGTGCAGAAACGTTTGCTTTGTTGTCCTGAAAATGTATCTTTTTCGCCAATGTATCTGTAAAAAAATTTTGCATTTTGTTGACATGAATATCTTTCTTTTTCGCCAATGTATCTGTAGAAATTTTTGCACTTTGTTGTTTTGAATATGTATCTTTTTCGCCAATGTATCTGCAGAAATTTCTGCACTTTGTTGTTTTAAATATGTAGCTTTTTTGTCAATGTATCTGTCAGAGAAATTTTTCACGGCAGCTTACTTTGTTGTCCTTGATATGTAACTTTTTCGCCAATGTATCTGTAGAAATTTTTGCACTTTGATGTCCTGAATAGACAGACTATCTTTTAATTTTTCCCTTATTCAATGTTATCAAGATCGAAACTTTCGTCGGCTGATCCCCCCTTTTTCATATGTATATCTAACCCGAAAATTCACGGTCAGTCCCTCCAAGGGGCGGATTCAGCCGGCGGGGTGTGGCTGGCGTGCGCACCCCTAAAATTTGCAAAGCATGGTTGTCCTAAGCTTAATAAAGAATATTTCGATAATTTTACCTCAAAAATATTTTCGCATCGCTACGCTCGGCGAACATTTAAGTTAGCGCCCATCCCCCCTTCCCCCCACCAACCTATATTCCTGGACCCGCCCCTGCCTCCCCGTAATCGATCTCTCCTTCTTGTGATTAAATGTAGCAATCGGGCGAAGTATATCGACACAAATAACGAAATATAAGTGTTAATATATATCATAAAACCTGGGACTATAATAGTCCCAGATAAAACACATTACTTGAAATGATCCAAATTGTAATACCCAATTTAGGTTGTCAAAATTGTATGAATTGTCTCCCCTGAAAAGATGCTGCAGAATGTGCAAATCTCAAAATACAGTCAGTATGATTCTACGAATTTCTGCATCATGGTAAAGACGCAAAAGCCTCCAAATGAATGCATTAACTAGCAATATCCATCATGTAATAAAACATTGATATACCTTAAAAAAGGGGGAGGATATTTTCTGCCGTAATTTTCAGTCTGGTCTAAAAAAGGTCAACTTTATAAAAGACGTATAAATTAAACTAAAATCAAAACAATCTTTTGAAGTCGATCATGAGTCGAAGTTAATGTTGATTATTCTGCTCCTTGTGGGCGGTGTGATTAAAATAAGCAATAAAATATTTGTTTGTTTGAGTGTTAACATTAGTCCAAATAATTATGAGGTCTTGAAAGGCTACTATATTTTTTTGCTTTTACAGCGACGTTGTAAGGCATCAAAGCATAAAAATATAGTAGCCTTTCAAGACGTCATAATTATATGGACTATCTTAACATGATTAAATACAATATGAACAGCATACAGAAGGAGAAAAAACGCCTTTGTGGTCACCTTGCCTTGTACTAAATGCTACTAGTGTACCTGCCTCGCTTTAGAGATGTTACGGCCATAAACCCGTTCTGTCATATGTCGTTTTGGCCATACACCACTTCGGACTTGGTTGTTTCGGTCCATTATGATTTTTTCTTAATGTCCGTGTCTATCAATGTTTTGAATAAAAAAAATAAGAAGTAAGTAAATATTTCTTTATATATGATTAGACATAAAAAATGTACCAGTCGGCAGAGCCAGGTAAATATATAAATTTTCTAACTTTTTATCAGAAGATTGAAGTCTAGAAAATATAAACCCCCACCAGAGACATATGTACACATATGTGTGTACAGGTCTCTGCCTCCATTACTATGAAAGTGCATTAAAGTCATACTTGCCAACTCGCATGATATTCGCGTGTAATACATGCTTTTTCAACGGTTTATACACGAGAATTTTGTCACATGGTGTGTACACGCTTTTCGTTACTTTATACGCCATTACACGCTTTTTCGTTGTTTTGATTTTTTGGTAGTTATTGAGATCACGATTCACAGGGTTTTCATTAATAGACGATAAATACCGAGAATTTTGTAGTAATTGTTGAGTCGCCATTGTTTATTTACGATGTGGACGAACAACAAAAGCCCTTCACTTCAGGTAAGTTTGTAAGTAGGTTTTAAGATTTTGTTACTTCTTTCTCTCAAATTGACATTGGGGAAATATCCAGCAGAAAGAGGTCACTTTCTGGACCTGTACTGTCGTCTCAAGAGCCGAGTGCTAAGCGAAAACGATACGTGTGTACGTACCAAAAAAGTTGGGAGTCCATGTTAAAATGAATCAAAAGAAAGTGACAGAGGGCCATTGTGCACCCTATGTTACTCTCATATTTATATTGGATCATCTGCAAACATTATCAATCATTTGCAATCATAACAACATGTGTGAGAGGATGTAACTATTTGATAAAGCATTCAATGGTATTCAAATTATAAAATATTTTTCATTTTCAGTTTCAAATCTAGCCAACAGATTTCCACAGGCCATATGGGAAGGGAATATCACAAAACTGTTGAATCAGTTCTCAGAGTACCAGCTGTCTTCTGATGAACTACCCAGTTTTGACCAGACAATAGCAGATGTAGATGACATTTTTAACGGCAAAAAATATGTCATGACATTCTTTCAACGCTTGCTATTTAAACGTTTAATATTTTAGTTTTGCCAAATAACAATTCTGACTGTGAGAGAGCATTTTCAATTATAAAGAAATTTACACTGAATTTAGATCAGAACTCAATGATATATTGACACTGTGTGCCTTGTTATCATGTAAATGTAACCAAACTGGCAGTTATTTTGAATATTTGCCTAGTAGTGTTGTTTTGAAAGCAGCAAAAATAGGCCACTGTTGAATGCAATAAAAGTTTACAGTAGAATATTGTTTTTTTGTCGAGCCTTCGACTTTAGTCGAAAAAGCGAGACATAGCGATCCTTCATTCCGTCGGCGTCTTCGTCGTCGTTGTCGTCGGCGGCGTCCACAAATATTCACTCTGTGGTTAAAGTTTTTGAAATTTTAATAACTTTCTTAAACTATCCTGGATTTCTACCAAACTTGGACAGAAGCTTGTTTATGATCATAAGATAGTATCCAGAGGTAAATTTTGTAAAAATAAAATTCCATTTTTTCCGTATTTTACTTATAAATGGACTTAGTTTTTCTGCCAGTAAATGTTACATTCACTCTGTGGTTAAAGTTTTTAAAATTTTAATAACTTTCTTAAACTATCCTGGGTTTGTACCAAACTTGGACAGAAGCTTGTTTATGATCATAAGATAGTATCTAGAAGTAAATTTTATAAAAAAATAAATCCATTTTTTCCTTATTTTACTTTTAAATGGACTTAGATTTTCTGCCAGGAAACAACACATTCACTCTGTGGTTAAAGTTTTTAAAATTTTAATAACTTTCTTATACTATTTTGGATTTGTACCAAACTTGAACAGAAGCTTGTTTATTATCAAAAGCTAGTATCTAGAAGGAAATTTTGTAAAAAAATAAATCCATTTTTTCCATATTTTACTTTTAAATGGACTTAGATTTTCTGCCAGGAAACAACATATTCACTCTGTGGTTAAAGTTTTTAAAATTTTAATAACTTTCTTATACTATTTTGGATTTGTACCAAACTTGGACAGAAGCTTGTTTATGATCAAATGCTAGTATCTAGAAGGAAATTTTGTTTTCTTCCAGTTAACATTACATTCAGTCTGCAGTTAAAGTTTTTAAACATTTATTAGATTCATAAACTATCCTGGAATTTTACCAAACTTGGACAGAAACTTCTTACAATCAAAAGATAGTATCAAGAGGAATATTTTTATTGATTTACTTCCTCGTTTTTGTTGAGCCTGCGATTAACAGAAAAAGTAGGCGAGACACTGGGTTCCGCGAAACCCTTACAAATTTTTTTTATTAACAAATTTGTATGATGTTCATTTTAAAAAGTCCGCATTTACATCTCGTGTTTTCACACGCTTTTTGACATGTCATGTCATGACATGATTTTTCATTGTCAGAGGTTGGCAGGTATGATTAAAGTTCTTTTTAAAGTTATTAAAGGTATATAAATGAGAGTATATACAACAAATCTCTTTTGATATAAAATAAAAGTATTGCTGAAACTACTTTTATTACATGGCCGAAGTGGTACAAGTCTGAAATGACCACGGCCGAATCAACCAAGGACGAAACCGGCTCCATGGCCGAAACGTCTTGTTTCTCTTGCCTTGACAGGATTTACGATTTCCGGATTTTGTTCATTTCTGTTACCATAGTTACCAGTAACCGCCGATAATTTTGTTTCTTTCAAAACTTCCTGAAGCAAATTTCGGTTTCTCATACTTTTTCAAGTAATTACCCAAATGATTAAGTCGAAATATTCTGCTCTATAATGACAACATTATTTTCCGAGAATAGAGATTGCTGTTGAGAAGGGCATGAAATAATCGAGTTACGAGTAACAGGAGGTGTCCAAGAATGCAAATTGCAGTGTCACTAATTTCAGTGATTAGAAAACCATGGATTTTTCTATATATACAAAGACTTTGTGTCAGGAAATTTGGACTGTGAATGATATCCAAAGCGCAAGAATCGTGAAACACATTGCTACAAAAAACATGACTGAAATACAGAAATTGACACAAGCACGAACTTGTGCGATCTATGACCATATAATAATATTGAGTACAAAAAGTCGTCCAACGTACAAAATGTATTATAGCAAGCCCTTAGATTTACCATGTTTACCCTCTGTCCCCAACCCCTCAATAGAGTCATTAAACAACTTCTTTTTGGTTAAGTTCATGTTTTACATTGTATTTTTTGCACGGCTGCATAAGAATCAAAAAAGCATAAACCCTAGTATTTTCAACACAGTTTGAGTTTTCATTTCACTCTGTACTCATAATACTTGTAAAGGGCACTACAAACCATAGCTTAGAAAGCAAAATGAATTTGATGTAGGTAGTCAAAAATAGAGCATTTCTCCACCTTTTTGCTATTTACTAAAAATAGGTTTCTAAAGCAGCAATTACATGTAGAACAGTGGTTGCCAATCAGAAATATTATTAAAAACTTGAAAAATTATGCAGAATTCCTTATATATATATATATATATATATATATATATATATATGATATAAGCTTAATTACCCTTGCAAATGAACAGTCTGATTGAAACCAGCCCCCACTATCTACATATGGATAGTGGGGGCTGGTTTTAATCAGACTGGCATATGAAGAACACGTCACAAAAGGGTTTGGAGGAAATAAAAATAAAATAATAAAATCATCCCACCCGCCCCATTTTAAAAAAAAATTTGGATGAAAATCTACTAATTAATTTTAGTTGGCCTTAAGAGAAAAATAGAAGAAAAAAATTTGTGACAAGAAGAAAAAATTAGCGACAAGAAGACAAATTTAGTGACAAGAAAGTTTAAACACTATAAAAACAATCAATTAATAGAAAAAGTGAATTCATTCCAGCTGATTTTTTGTTGTTTAATAAAGTTACAAATTTATTTTATTCAGTAGCACTACAGTTATATTATGAATTTTTAGTGAAAAAAAAAAAAACATTTTAAAGTATGTATCAATCTGAACATTTTGCAACAATCCCAGAATCATTATCATGTCACAACAGGGAGTTAATTGGTAATTAAATTATGTAAATAAAAGCACATGGCAATTACTCTTAATATACAAGCATACATGAGGAGCTAATCCTTCAATCATCTGTTTATACCAATTGTCCATAAAGAATTGAGAAAAATAGCTTAACAAAATTTAAGAATGAAGAAATAACCCATAAACACAAACCCATCCAACACAAATTCAAACATTCATAACCTTATGATTTTTAACTACATGCATGTAAGTAGTGAAAACACATTTATATAAAAAAAAAAACACCTTTAATTACCATGATTTCTATTAAGATTTCTTGGCGCTAAATTAAGTCTTTTTGTCGCTAAATTATTCTTCTTGTCGCTCCTTTACGCTTCTTGTCACTTCCTGATGCTTCTTGTTACTAATTAGTGAGA